TGTGATCTCTGTCAAATAAATAAATAAAATCTTAAAAAAAAAAAAAAAGAACATTCTACTTAGCAACATTATCATTCAAAGAAAAGTTAAAGGAGTTCATCATCATTAAACTGACCTTATAAGAAATATTAAATGGATTTCCTTAAATGTAAAAGAAAAGGCTGTAAATAGAAGCAAGAAAGTGAAAGGGAAGAAATGTCACTAGTAAAAGCAAACATTGTAAAAATAGTAAATCAATCACTTATCAAGCTAGTATGAAGGTTTAAAGAAACAAGTATATCTACAAAAAGTAATCAAGGAATATGGAAAATAAAAAGATGTAAACTATGACATACATAAGATGTAGAGGGAGGAGTAAAAATTGCAGTGATTTTAGAACGTGTTGGAACTTAAGTGACCATCAACATAAAATAAACTGCTATATACATAGAATGTCATATATAAATCTCATAATAACCAAAAACCCAAAAGCTATAATAGATAACATAAAAAAGAGAAAGGAAACCAGGTGTAACAATAAAGTTATCAAGTCACAAGGGAAGAGAACAAGAGAAGAACTATAAAAACAACCAGAAGACAGTTAACAAAATGCCAATAAATACATACCTATCAGTAGTAACTTTAGATATAAATGTACAAAATGCTTGAATTAAAAGACATAGGGTAACTGAATGGATAAAAAATAACACCTATCTAGGGGTGCCTGGTGCCTCACTTGGTTGAACATTTGATTCTTGATTTCAACTCAGGTCATGATCTCAGTCTCATGGGATCAAGTCCTGTGTCAGGCTCCATACTCATCCTGGAGTCTACTTGTCTCTCTCCCTGGTCTTGCTCTCTCTTTCTCAAATAAATAAAATCTTTTTTTAAAAAATAAGGCCCATCCAAATACTGCCTACAAGAGCCTCACTTCAGACCCAGAGACACATACAGATTGAAAGTGAAGGAATGGAAAAAGATATTCCATGCAAATGGAAGCATCAACAACAACAAAACTGGGGTAGGAATACTTACATCGGACAAAACAGATTTTTCAAAAAGACTGTAATGAGACAAAGATGGGCATTACACAGATAAAGGTATCAGTCCAACAAGAGGATATAACAATTGTAAATATCCATGCACCCAACATAGGGACACCTAAATATACAAAGCAAATAGTGACAAACACAAAGGGAGAAACTGACAGAAATAACAATATTAGGAGACTAACTCCACTTACATCAATGGATAGATCATCCAGACAGAAAATCAGTAAGGACATGATGTCTTTGAATGACACTTTAGAGCACATGAACTTAAGATACGTACAGAAGATTCCATCCCCAAACAGTAGAATACATATTCTTTTCAAGTGTACATGAAATATTCTCCCAGGTGGGTGACATGTTAGGCCACAAAACCAGGCTTAGTAAATTTAAGAATATTAAAATACTATCAAGCATCTTTTCTGGTCACAGTATGAAACTAGAAATCAATTACAAGGGGAAAACAAAAAAACCCACAAATGCCTGGAAGCTAAACAACATGCTACTAAACAGCCAATGGGTCAATGAAGAATTCAAAAAGGAAAACAAAAAATACTTGGAGATGAATGAAAATGGAAACGCAACATTAGAGAATCTCTGAGAGGTGGCCAAAGCAATTATAAGAGGGAAATTTATACCAATACAGGCCTACCTCACAAAACAAGAAAAACCTCAAATGGACAATTTTACCTTACATCTAACGGAACTAAAAAAAGAACAAAGCCCAAAGTTAGTAGAAGGAAGGAAATAATAAAGATTAGAGTGGAAATAAATGAAATAGAGACCAAAAAAATGAAATAGAGACCAAAAAAAAAAAAAAAAAGATCAATAGATCAATAAAACTAAGAGCTGCTGGGGTGCCTGGATGGCTCAGTGGGTTAAGCCTCTGCCTTCGGCTCAGGTCATGATCTTGGAGTTCTGGGATCAAGCCGCGCATCGGGCTCTCTGCTCAACAGGGAGCCCACTTCCTCCTCTCTCTCTGCCTGCCTCTCTGCCTACTTGTGATCTCTCCCTCTCTGTTAAATAAATAAATAAATCTTAAAAACACTAAGAGCTGCTGCTTTGAAAAGAAACAAGATTGAAACAAGATTGATAAACTTTTAACCAGATTCATCAAGAAAGAGGACTCAAAATCAGAAATGAAAGGAAAGTTAACAACTGACACCACAAAAACAAAGAATGATAAGAGACTACTAGAAAAAAAAAATAGATGCAGAAAAACCATTTGACAAAACTCAACATCCATTCCTGATTAAAACTCTCAACACATGGGTTTAGAGGGAACATACTTCAACATAATGAAGGCCATCATATGACCTGATCCACAGCTAACAGTGAAAAGTTGAAAGCTTTTCCTCTACAATCAGGAGTAAAACAAGGATGTCCATTCTCACCATATTTATTCAGCAATCAGAAAAGAAAAAGAAATATCCAAATCGGTAAGAAAGAAGTAAAACTGTCACTGTTCACAGATAACATGAGACTATATATAGAAAGCCCTGAAGCTTCCACCAAAAAAACTATTAGAACTAATGAATGAACTCAGTAAAGTTGCAGGATACAAAATCAATACACAGAAGTCTGTTGTGATTCTGTACACCAATAGTGAACTAGTGGAAAGAGAAATTAAGAAAACAATCCCATTTATAATTGCACCAAAAAGAATAAAATACCTAGGAATAAATTTAATCAAGGAAATGAGAGACCTATACTCTGAAAACAAAGGCCTTGATGAAAGAAATTGAAGACAACACAAATAAATGGAAGATACACCATGTTCATGCTTTAGCAAATTTAATATTGTTACAATGTCCACACCACACAAAGAAATTTACAGATTCAGTACAATCCCTATCAAAACACCAACAACATTTTTCACAGAACTAGAACAAATTCTAAAATTTGTATGGAACCACAAAAGACCCTGAACAGCCAAAACAATCTTGAGAAAAAAGAGCAAAGCTGGAGGTATCACAATCACAGATTTCAAACTACACTACAAAGCTATACTAATCAAAACATGTACTGGCACATAAACAGATTCATAGGTCAATGGAACAGAATAGAGAGCCCAGAAATAAACCCCTGCTTGTATGGTCAATCAATCTATGACAAGGAGGCAAGAATATACAATGGGGAAAAGACAGGCTCTTCAATGAATGGCACGGGGAAAACTGGAGAGCTGCATGCAAAAGAATGAAACCGGACGACTTCCTTATACCATATACAAAAATAAGCTAAAATGGATTAAAGACCTAAATATGAGACCAAAACCATAAAAGTCCTAAAAGAAAACCTGGGCAGTAAACTCTTGGATGTCAGCCTTAGCAATATTTTTCTGCATCGGTTTCTTCAGTGAGGGAAAACAAAAGCAAAAATAAACAATTGGAACTACATCAAACTAAAAATTTTTGCACAGCAAAGGAAACCACCCACAAAATGAAAAGACAACCAACTGAATGGGCAAAGGACAATATTAAAAATAAAGAACTCATACAACTCTACATTAAAAAAAAAAAAAAAAAAACCAACCCGGGGACACCTGGGTGGCACAGTCGGTTTAGTGTCTGACTGTTGTTTTCAGCTTGGGTGATGACCTCAGGGTCGTGGGATCAAGCCCCACGTTGGGCTCTGTGCTTAGCATAGAGTCTGCTTGAGTCTCTTCATCTCCTGATGCCCCCCACCATGCATTCTCTTTCCCTCTCTAAAGTAAATAAATAAATCTTGGTGGTGGGGTGCCCAATCTGATTAAAAAGTGGGCAGAAGACCTGACTTTTCCAAAAATGACATACAGATGACAAATAGACACGTGAAAAGATGCATAATATCACTCATCGTCAGGGAAATGCAAATCAAAACCAGTGAGATATCACCTTATATCAGTAAAAATGGCTAGGATCAAAAAGACAAGAAACAACCAATGCTGGTGAAGACGTGGAGAAAAGGGAACCCTCTTGGACTATTGGTGGCAATGCAAGCTGGTACAGCTACTATGGGAAATAGTATGGGGCTTCCTCAAAAAATTAAAAACAGAACTATCATACATACAATCCAGTAATTCTACTTCTGGCTATTTACTTGAAGAAAATGAAAACACCAATTGAAAAAGATACATGCACCCCTATGTTAATTCCAGCATTGTTTACAATAGCCAAGATGCGGAAGCAGCCTGAGTGTCTGTCAACTGATGAATGGATAAAAAGGTGGTATATATACACAACAGAATACTATTCGGCCATAAAAAGGAACGAAATCTTGCTATTCGTGACAATATGGATGAACCCAGAGGGCATGATGTCAAGGGAAATAAATCAGACAGAGAAAGAGAAGTGCCGTATGATTTTACTTTATGTGTGAAGTCTAAAACATAAAACAACAAAAAACAGAAACAGAATTATAAGAATAGAGAACTGGTGGTTGCCAGAAGGCAAGGGGCTAGGGGATGCACAAAATAGGGGAAGAGGATGAAGAGCTATAAACTTCCATTAGTAAATTACATGAATCACAGGGATGAAAAGTATAGCCTAGGGAACAGAGTCAATACGTTGTAATAACACTGCACGGTGACAGGTGGTAACCACATAGATCGTGGTGAGCTCTGCCTAATGCTTATGATTGTCGATTCACTATGTCGTACACATAACATATAACATCATACACCAACTATGCTTCAGTTAAAAACTTAAAAGGGAGAGAGCAATAGCAGCCACCTCATAGGGTTGTTTTTTTGTTTTGTTTTTTTAAGGATTTTATTTATTTATTTGACAGACAGAGATTATAAGTAGGCAGAGAGGCAGGCAGAGAGAGAGAGGAGACAGCAGGCTCCCCGCTGAGCAGAGAGCCCAATGCGGGGCTTGATCCCAGGACCCTGGGATCATGACCTGAGCTGAAGGCAGAGGCTTTAACCCACTGAGCCACCCAGGTGCCCCACCTCATAGGGTTGTTAAGCAGAGTAGTTGAAACACACAAAGCCCCAGGAACATGGATGTCTTTATTTTACTCGCATGATTATGTGAGAGTGGTGAGCATGTGCCTCTGTGGAGTCATGTGTCCGTGTGTGTCCCCAAGGCAAGGACAGAGTGCCAGGGGGCGGGGGGCAGGCCTGTCTGGCCACCCTCCCAGGTCAGAGGAAGCGAGCAGGGCCGCGTACCTGCCTCCATGGCTGAGTCCTTGCACTGCTTGGCCTTATTCTGGCTCTGAGGAGAGAGAGGGAAAGCAGAGCTGAGCTCGCCCCAGCCCTCGGGGGCCCAGCCTCCCCGGGGGGGCTCTGAAGGGCTTCTGTCCCAGCCTTCCTGAGCCACCCAAGAGGACACTCAGCAGCCAACTGTGGGCACGTCCCACCATTAACTCCAGCTTCAACCCACAGAGCACCACAATCAATAAAGGTCCAATACAAAAAAATAAAAACAGAAGCATGTAGCCCATGCCTACACGTGCGACAACTGGACGTGAAGACCTGAAGGAGAAATGTGGATGGGCAGGTCCCGCCGCTCCACCTGGCCACTGCTGACCCCACTGGCTGGGGCTTGGGCTCTGCCCTCGACTTGCTGCCCCTAACTCACCCTCAGGCCCCTGCTCTTTCTGGGCCTCAGCTTTCCTGTCTGTGCAATGGGCTCAATGCGCTCTCAGGCCCTGGTATCTCTGGCAGCCCACCCTGGTCCAGAGGCCAGAGCAGTCAAGATCTCGGGTGCTTGATGACCTGGGTGTGCATCCTTTCTCCACTGCTTCCTGGCTCTGAGACCTTGGACAAGTCATTCACCGTCTCAGGGCCTGTTTCCTCTCTGGCACATGGGTCTCTGAGCCCCTCTCCATGGGTTATGTGAGAGTTAAGCTGGCCGTGCCTGTCCATGCCCTGAGACTCCAGGAAACCCCTTTTGCAGCTGAGAAGATGGAGGTTCAGAGAGGAGTGAGCAGATATCCCAGCTGCAGACCTTTCTTAGGGTGTCTATGGCACCTCCTTCCCTCCCTACCCTGTTCCAGCACTAGGTGACACCATACGGCCTCAGTGGCTCCACGCACCTTCTCCACCTGCTTCTGGGGGCCGTTGGTGCTAATGCGTTCGAAGGCCTGCTCAGCATCATCAGCATCCCGGCACTTCTGCTCATATGACTTCTTGGACTGGGTGGGAGGGGGTGGAGAAGTTTGACTGTGGGGGCGCCCACAGTGAGGGTCCCTGAACCCAGCCTCCCCTCTCCCTGTCAGGGGCCTGTGGGTGGAGTGGGGGCCTCCTCACCAGGGACAGGGGGTCCAGAAGGGAGATGGAGAAGAGAGTTTTATTCCCAGGCCCTGCCCCACCTGGGGACTCCGGCCCTGCCCATGGCCACATCCTGTTTAGAGACATGGTCCCATCAAACCACCAGCAAGTCCCCCCAAATGCCATGCATCCTCATGATGCTGGCCTCTCCCTGTGTTGTCCCCTCTTGCAGAACCCCTTTTCTCCCTCTCAGCTGGAGTCCCAGGGGACACAGCTCAGCAGTCTCTTGTCCCTCCACCCTGAGTCCCCAACTGACAGCATAGATCATCCTGTGGGCCACTGTCTGGGACTGACTGCCTGCTCCTCAGTCAGGAGCCCCCCAAGGGCAGGGCCTGGGCCTAGCCACATGGGCCCTGGTTTCCCCGTGCATCCCCGAGCACCCAACAGGCCATGGTGTCTGTTGTCGGACAGGTGGTCAGAGGCCAGCCCCGTCCCAGGGGCCCAGCTCAGGGCTCCTGGGGTCTGCACCATGAGTCCCCCACGCCTCCAGGCCCAACACCCTCACACTCACATCCATGGCCTTCTTGTAGAGCGATAGCTTGCTCTTCTGGACCCGGTCCATGACAGCCTCGTACTGTAGGGGACATGGGGCTCTGAGCAGGGGTGCTGTGGCCCCTGGATGCTCCCCTAGGCCAAGAGGATGGGGTGGCCCCGGGATGAGGCACAGCATCCCCTCCTGGCTCTGAAGGGGACAGTGACAAGACGTCCTCTCTCCCATGCCCCGTTCTTTCTCAATCTCTGCTCAGGACAGAAAACTAGAGCCCAGGACAGGATGTGTCCATCATGACTTTTTGCTTCAGACTCCAGCCAAGACTTGGTCTCTGTCCCTGGAATACCCACCCTGCACACACACACGCACGCACGCACGCACACACACACACACAGAGACCCCCCCTCGTGGCTTCTGTTCATTCTCACACCTGTCACTCACTGTGTACACACTCTGGCACACGCATGCCAAGCTCCACATGACACACACACACAAGTACACACTAACAGGTCCCCAGTGTCCCCACTGCTCACACTTGCACATGCAGGCCTTCGTGTGCACATTCATGGGACGTCCACACACAAGTACACACAAGCATACTCTTGCACGTCCCTGTGCACAGCCATGGGCCTGTTCACACAGGGGAACACACACCCCTGCCACCAAACTTTTGCCGCCTGTGGGCACACAGGGCCAGTGCACCCTGACCTCACCTCGCAGGCTTCTTGTTCAGGCAGAGACTGAAAGGCAGCTGTGACAGAGATCGGGGTGTAAGGAGGACCGGGGCTGGCTTTGCCTCGGGTCTCAGTGGGGCCAGGGCTGACAGGGAGCCCTCCGGCAAGCCAGCGGGTCACAGAGATATAGGCACACACACATGAGACACACGCACCTGCTCAGAGGCAGACACACACGTGTGCCGGGCACCCCCGCTCCCTCTTCCCCCCTCCCCCTCACACACACGTGTTCATATGCACACGGGTGCATACACATGAGCCCGGGCTGTGTTCCTGCAGACTACCCCACAGTTCTTCACTTGGGGGGGCCCTGGCCGCTCTGGGGAAGGTGTCTCTGAAACACCCCCTCTGGCCACAGGAGAACTCAAAATAGGCAGTCTGGGGCCTCGCTGTCTCAGCAGGTGCTCTGCACCCTGCAGGCAAGCCCCAGCTTCAGAGAGGCCACCTGCTCCAGCACCTCGAGGTGGAGCTGGCCTCTGGGGCTGGCTTCGGAGACCAGCTGTCTGCTCAGGGACCCAAATTTAGAATCCTGAAAGCCCGAGCCCCCGACGTGGCTGGCTGGGTGGGCAGGGAGGGCAGCCACACTAGATTTCTGTGGTCAGAGCCACTCATCAGAGCCGGAGCCTATCTGAGAAGACCAAGGGGGGCTGGACCAGGGCTGGGTCCCCAAAGCCTGCAGGAGGGAAACTTGAGGCACAAAAGGAAAAGAGCTTGCCCAGGACACCCAGGCCCAGCCTGGCTCCAGCCGTGAGCAGGCAAGCCTTTCCCCTCACAGCTCAGTTGTGTGGACTTCTCCATTTCCGGTTCTCTGGAGAGTCCGCAGTGATCCTTCACCTCCAAGCAAGAAGTGTTTCTGTGTGCTGGCCTCTCCCATCCTGCCTGGGGCATTGCCCTCATCACATTGAGTGCGCACGTGGACCCAGCTGCCTTCCCAGCAGCCAAGTGCTCAGCCACTCAGAGAGTCTCAGGCCTGGGAAAGGACCCTGGGACACTGAGGTCACCAAGCCCGTCCCCACCCTACCCCTGTAGGTTCCCTGACAAAGAACCTCCAGACTCTACTTGCATACCTCCCATGATGGGGACCTTACTTCCTTCCCATGTAGTCCCTCCGCCTAGGGACAGCCACGCCCCATCCACAGGTGAGAAGTACCTGTGGGTGCCAGGGAAAGCCTGGCAGCCCCCCCCACAGGCTCTGTCTGCCCCTCTCAGCCTGGGCAGCGTGGCAGAGCAGCTGCAAAGGCCAGCCGCCAAGTCTGCCTTTCTCCTGCTCAAACAGCCCTGACCCTTGGGTTGAGGACCAGTTTCTGGCGACTCCCCAAATCAGGCTGCTGCCTTTGGATACCCCCAAACTGTGAGGATCCACAGTCTCTTGTAGGAGGATAATCAAGAAGACCCATGCCTTTCCCTCTCCCTGGCATGAGACAGTTCAGGGGAAGACCCCCAGTGGGGCTCTCAGGCCTGCATGCTGGGTCCTGATTCCAGGGCCCCGTCTCAGCGCACAGCCATCCCCTCACCATCAAGTCACTCTTATCCCCAAGCCTGGAGTGCAGTCTACCACCCTCCCTGGGCTCTGTCTGGAGGGACCATTCCCCACAACCTTCTCAGTGAGGATGCCCCACCCCCGAGCACCCGCCTTACCTTCTTCCTCTGCTCCTTCTGCCTCTCGCGGAACTCCTCAAGGCTCCGCAGCTCCTCGCGCAGGGCCAGGGCCAGCTGGATGTGGGAGCTGCCCACGTTCTCCATCTCTGGGGGCAGAGCACAGGGGTGAGCTTCAACCACGCACACACTTACCTCTGCCCAGACCCGCCCCACACCTCCCAGATCCTCCACTAGCCTTAGGGCCCTGTGCGCAGCCTGAGCACTGCCTCCCCACCGCTCCCCCACCCCCCACTAGAACCTATCTACCTCCACCTATGGGGACATGGCTGTTCCCAGAAGGGCCTGTCACTCTGCAGCCTGGGGTTGGGGACAGTCGGGACTTACGCTGCTTCAGGGAGTCAAAGGAGGCCCTCAAGGAGCTGCAAAACAGAAAGGCCAGGGTCAGCGGGAGGAGGGCATGACAGGACGGAAGCGCCCCCCCCCCCGCCCCAGGGACTTTTCATTTGATGGGAAGGCCCTAGGTCACTCACACACACTGATCCAGACCCAGACAGTGACCACCACTCAGAACCAAGCTGGGATTTCTGGAAGGCAGAATTCCTCTTCGGGAATGGTAAAGCTATCACACCTCCCAGCTGTGGTGCAATGCTCCTGGCTTTGTGTTTTCAGGGCTCTCCCTCCCTCGCCCAGGCCATCAGGACGAGCTGAAGCGGGACAGCAGAGGGTACAGATCTGGCTTTAGGCGAGTGGCCTGGAGGGTGTTTGGAAGAAGCTGGAAGGGCGAGGCAAGCCAGGCAGGGGTACCAGAGGAGAGAGATATGGGGCAAGAAGAATGGGACGTAGTGGGGAGGACAGTAAGAAACTGTCCCTGTTCCTGGCTGAGGTGGCTGGGCACACAGTGGTGACATTTCCAAGAGCAGACCCAGGAGAAGTATGTGAGCCAGGAGGAGTATACAATAGGGTGCACTGAGCAGGGATGCCTGAGAGAGCGTCTCAGGAGGAGTCAGGAGGCAGCAGTGCAGCTGTTCTGGAGTAGAGATGTGGGCCCTCGGAGAACAAGAAGGGAAGAGGCTGGCCCTGGGGAAGAACGCCCAGGGGTGGGGCTGCAAGACAGCAGAGAAAAATACAGGGCACCCAGGTACATGCGAATTTCAGACAAACAACAAATAGTGTTTTAATATAATGTAATATATGGATCATACTTACATCTAAAAAGTATTTGTTGTTTATCTGAAGTTTGCATGTAACTGGGCCTCCTATATTCTATGCAGTGGCCTGGCCCTACTGTGGGGACTGACCCCCAGAACCACAAATGAGCTAAGGTGTCGGAGCCCACCCAGGACCCAGTCCTGTCTCCTGAGGGGTAACGGGGTGCCATGAAACAAACATCTTGGGTCGGAAACGCAACCAACAGGGGCGAAAGGCTCTCTCCAGGTCACTGGGGTTCAGGGGCTAGGACCACTCGGTGGGGTGAGCTCCCTGCCTGATGGAGCAGGAGAGTGACTGGCAATCCCAGCCTGGGAAGGCAGCAGGCCCTGGGCAGGGGCTCCCGCTCCACACTCCCACATGCACCAGAAGCAGACCCAGGAGCCGAGTAGCCTGAGTCCAGGCAAAGCTCTGCTGTGCACTCACTGTGCGACCTTGGGCAAGGGACTTACTCTCTGTGCCTTGGTTTCCCCCTCTGTAAAATGGGGATAATAGCACAAACAGGACGGTGATGAGGAATAAATTAATAGGTCTAAAGTACCTCTGTCAGGACATGGCTGCTGTTGTGCCACCCTCCCCGGAGTCCACATCTGCACATCCCAGTCCTGGGGGGGGGGGTTCCCCCAGGTCCCTGAACCTGACTTGAGCTATATACTGCCCCGCCTAAGAGCTTACTGGGTGCCCACAGTAATCAGAAACCCCCCAGGTCTTGCTTTCAGCTAGGGGTTCCCTTGAGGTTCTCTCTGGGGCTCCATAGATTGGGCTCCCTTCCCCCACCTCGGCCTCCCACCTCCACCCCGCCGCCCATGTGGGCATTGGTAACAGACTGACTTGCGTCCACCAGCAGCTGTGTGGGGATGCCTAGGCCTGTCGTGCCCCAGTGTGGGCCCATGGGTGCCAAGTCTGAGTGCACCCATAGACGGAGCGCAGAGGTTGCAGACTGGCCCTAAGGTGGTATTTGGAGTGAAATTCTCTGCCTGCGTTGGCAGACTCTTAACCAAGGAGGCAAAATAAGCTGGGGCACCCTCTGCACCAGGTTGCCTGAGGAGGCGCTGTCAATCAAGGCAGAAAGAGAAACCGAGTCCAGAGAGTGGCCAGGCTTGCTGGATCACACAGAAGCAGCGGGCAGGCACCTCTCCCACCTCCCCCACCCCCACCTCCCCCACTCGCCCCACCCCCGCTCCTTCTGTCCCCGCCCCCCTCCCCCCGCCCGCCGCCGCCGCCGCCGCCGCCGCCGGCCTCAGGCTCCGCGCTCCGCCCCTCGTGCTCCCTGCCTGCCTCTCCGCGGAGCAGCGCGCCCGCCCCCTGGTGGCCGTATGTCCTCATGACGCCCGCCCGGGACAGCTCTGAGCTCCTGCCCTTCCGCAGCGTCAAGGCAGGCTTTCCAGGGTCCTCCCTCTTCTCACTGGACAGTTAGGGAAACTGAGGTTTCAGCAACCTGATAGGACCCACAGGGATCCAGGCCTAGAAGAGAACTGCGGGGGTCTGGCCTGGGGTGGACCCCAGCCCTAAACTAAGTAGATCTCCAAGTGTGGTCCCAGGACGAGCAGCCTGACCGTCACCTGGGGGCCTGTCGGAAAGGCAGATCCTGAAGCCGAAACTCCGGGGTGGGGCCCAGCTCCCTGGGTTTTAACAGGCGCCCCGGGAGCTGCTTTCTGTTCGAATGTGAGAATGGCTGGCCTAAATTCTTTAATCCTCACAGCTCTGCCAGAGATGGTCCCCATTTCACAGATGAGAAAAACAAGCATCAGCGAGGAGAGGAAACTGACCCGTGGCCACACAGTGGGTGAGACGGCAAGGCCAGCCCCTGGCTTCTCACCAAAGGAAGGAGAGGGGGACTGCCAGGGTGACCCCAGCCACCCTGGGGATGAGGGGCAGGACCCTTTTCTGACAGAATTGATACCTTGCCAGGGGCTCTCCCTCCGATCCCTCCGCTTACCCACACACCCATGTTCTGCCTCAGTCTCTCCATTCATGGTGAGAGCCCCTCCAGGCTCAGTGTGTGCTCCCACTCCCCCAGGCCCCAAATCCTTCAGGACCCCATCCCTCCCCAAAGCGCAGGCAGCACATGCACGGCCTGGTCTTCACCTCTTTTTAGATCTCACAGCTCACGAACACCTCAAATGCAAAGTGTCCAAAACTGGACTCAGCTCCCGCACAAAGCTTGCTTCTCAGCCCACTCCCCTCTCAGTGAAGGCGTCAGCCTGCACCTGGCTGTATGCACCAGGAACCCAGAGTCGTCCTTTTCTCAGCCCTCTCCCTCCCCCTCCACTGCCTTCTTTTTCACCTCTTCAATCTCCTCTCTGTCCACCTCTTATTACCACCACCCCAGCCCTTGCCCCTTCAGCTCCTGTCCCCTAGTGTCACTTCCCACCTGGTAACCCCATTTTCTGGGCTACCTAGTCACCTGACCACCCACCAGTTCCTTCTCTCTGTCAAGTTCCTTCTTGCCTCAGGGCATTTGTACATGCTAATTCCCTCTGTGCAACATCTTTTCAAGGCTTCCCCTTCTGTTCCTCTGAGCATTTGTTCCTCTTGTCACCTTGGGCTGATGCCCCCCCCCCCCCACTGAACTGTGAGCCCACTGAGCAAGGTTCTTCTCCTGGTTCCGCCTGGTTCTCCTCCCCCTTATCCCTAGGGGGGAACAAATTCAACACTTGATAAATACCAAGGTTTTTCTCAATCCCAAACCTACCCTGCCTCACCCTCCTTGGCCTGTGGACCCAGGCCCTCCCTCCTAGGCCCAGGGTGTCTGTAAGGAATCACAGCCTCCTGGGACAGCTGGTCTTTCTCCCTACCCCACCCCTGGATGCTGGGAGCCCCTGCCTGAGTCCACAGCACTGCCATGTGACATGCAATCTCTGTTCCCACCCTGGTCAGTCCTGATGATGACAAAGCCCATGCTCACCTTAGGTTCCCATTTGTCCCCTGGCTTGCTGCCCACTGGGGCTGCAGGGGTGACGGTGCTCATTCTGCCTGGGACCAGAGTGGGAGGCAGGATTGCAGGCTGTGACCACTCCAGATGTTCCCCCCCTCCCTCCCCGCCCCTTGCTCACCTCTGGGCTGCAGTCCTTCCTGCCCAGCCCTCCTTTACCCAGTGCTGGGGACCTTCAGGCCACCAGAGCTCCATTCACACAACAAGGCCCAGGACACCACCTCTCTTTCTCGGCCCCAGACTTTCAAGAAGGCCTTGGTTCTGTCGGGGGGAGGGCGGTCTTTACTTTTCCTGGAACCAGAGGCAGCCCACTGTGGATTAGCCAAGACTCACCCCTGGAGAATGGCCTTAAACCCTGATCTTGTGCAGGATTTGTGGAGCATTTGTAGTCTTTCTATGCTCCATCCGACCCAGAAAAGATGGCGTCTTGTAGCTTTTCTCCCTCCCAGGTCCTCCCTCTTGCTGCCAGGACCTGCTCAAGCTTCACTTCTATTGTGTCTCTGTCACATGGCAAGGACAGGGCCTCATTCAGGCCTCTACCCTCTGTTATCTGCCACCAGCGTCCTTATGTGTGACTCATTCCATTGCCCTTTCTGACTTGGCTCTCGGGACGCATAGCCTGAAACGCTTGGCTCAAACACAGTCTAGAAATTCCAAGTGTGAACACCTCCTTCCATCTCCCCGCCATCTCACGCCCCTGCTGGGGCCTCACTGCCCTTGCCCTCCTGCTGGCCAGAGGCTCTGGCCTCCCAACTGCCAGCAGCAGGCTCTTCTTGCCTCTGTGCCAGAGGCTGGGCCTGGCTGCGCTGGTGTCAGAGGACGCCTGATGGGACGAAGGCCTGCCTCCCTCCCACTAATGCCCTCAGCATGTCTTCATTCTCTGAGTTCAAAAGACAGATCATGAAAAAAAAAAATCCCTTCTGACAGGAAAACCACAGCATTTTAGGCTGTGACAAGGGCAGGTGAGGCGGGGATTCAAACCCACATGCCTGGAGGAGGTGTCCTGACTTGTGGCAACCACCCAGGGGCTCACAGGAAGTTGGCCCCAGGCCTGCCAGCCTTGATTTCCTTTCATTTCCAGAACCCCTGCCCTGTGGCATCTCAGGACCCTACCTGGGGCAACGGGAGCAAAACAGGATGGGTAGGACTGGGCAGGGTAGAAATGAGAGCAGTCGCCAGAGCAAGGCCCGGAGGCTGGAAGGGAGGATCAAGGTGAATTTTCTGAGCCGGCTGTGCAGCTTAAACCATATGGATAAGCCCGTCACCAGCGTAATGAGGTCTTCAAAGTGCACTGAAAGGGCTTGCGAGGCTCCCTCAGTGCGGGTCTTCTCGGGGCATTCTCTGTTCCATAGCCCAGCGGGCGTTAGCTAAGGCAGCAGGCAGAGGAGGAGGAGGAGGCTGCGACTGTCAGAAATGGTGTGAAGCGGGGCGTGACCTCCTGTCAGCATACAGGGCTGCGCCTCCAGGCCCCAGCGAGCTTTCTGGCCTGAAGTCAGAGGATCATGAAGAAAATGCTGCCCCTTCAGGCAGCAGAAGAGGCCAGGGAGGCCGGCCCTCTCTGCCCTCTCTGCTCTCACTGGGCTTCTCCTGAGGTCACTTAACTCCTCAGCTTGTGTCTCCCCGTTTGCTCCTGTCCAGCCTGTGCACCCCCAGCCCTCTACTTGACCCCCAAGGAGCTAAGGGAAAGCATCCCACGGGACCTAGAAAGGTGGGCAGCTGTGGCAAGGCTGGTTGCTGTACCCCACCAGCTGATGGGCCGTAATGGGCTGAACAGCCAGGCCATTCCCAGGGGGCCAACCCAGCACACCTCCCAACCACCTGGACAATGAGGAAGTGACCTGTGTTGTCATGGCTATCCTTCACTCATCCCACAGGGAGCCCTCCGGGTTGGTGTTGGGACAGGGTGACCTGGCTCAATCCAAGACTCTAACAGTCACACAAGGCTGAGTGTTTGGGAGGACTTCCTGGAGGAGGTGGGGCAGAAGGCCCTAGAGGCAGGGGTTCTGAGGCAAAGGATCGGGGAGGTTTCCCCACAGTGTGCTGGAGAGAGTCTAGCTTCGGGATAGTGGGGCCATTTATTTTATGTTATTTTTAGATTTTTGAATCCTTCTAACTCAGCAGGGCATGGCAGGCACTTCATTTAGGTGCTCCATAAACGCTTTCTGGCTAAATGAATGGATGCTGGATGCTTGGCCCACCCGTGAAGAAAGGAAGGACTGCATGGTCTCACTAGTCTTAGTACATGCCACGTGGCTCAACAGCAACACTTACTGAGCACCTAGTGTGTGCAGTCAGCCCACCTGGGAGCTACATAGGGCATGACCCTAAGGCAGGCCGCAGGTGAACCGGGTGGGAAGGGTTTAACCCCTGCCCCTCTTGCCCACTGGCTTTGAATGTCCTCCCGCAGGAAGGTGTCTCCCCTCCCTCTCCGTCTCTCCCAGGAGGTGCCCTCCCCAGGCCACCCTGCTTAGACCATCGCAGCCTGATGGCAGACTCGGGGCCATGCTGGTTCTCACCCACCATTCCATCTATTGTGGAAACCTGCGTGCTGGGCCGTGGGGCCTCCATGCTGGGTCAGCTGTGATGGGACCTGGTACTCCCAACCTGGGCTCCAGCTCCTCCTTGGTAAGCAGAAGGCAGGCCCTGTCTCTACTCCTTGCTCTGGTCTGGGGCTCTACCACCGATGCTCCCACTTGGACGACGGCCGCCCTTCCAGTGATGCTGGCCTCTGGCTTTTTGGGCCAGGGAGGGGCTGGGCCTTAAAGGAAATGGCTAGGTTGCCTGGTCAGGCTACTCAGCCCTAAACCAAGTAGGGCGAGCCCAGTTTGTCTGACAATACACAGGTGCCTATAAGATTGGCAAGAAGCCCACTGTTGATTGAGCATTGCCCTGACCTGGTTCTCTCTGTTTGACACGGTGATTCCAGGACACCTCCCAAGGGCAACTCCATTTTCACAGCCCAGCACAGGACTCAGAGGGGCAGTGACCACCCCATGGTCACACCATACAGGAGGGAAGTAGACCTTGCCCCACTTGGCCTCTTATAGCCATGCAGGGGATCGTGACTGCCCAGAGTGTTGCCCCCCACTTCCTAGTCCTGCAGTGGGGTGAGATGCTGTGTCCCTCCCTCCCTTTCCCGCCACCCACCAGGATCCCCTTCCATTTTGTTCTCTCTGTCAGTGGCTTCTCCTTCCCGATTTAAGTGCCCGGTGACTCACAGGCTTCTGAGTGTGAGTGTGCCTCACACGGCTTACCTCCAGCCTATCACAGTCCTGCCCGGAGCACCCTGTCCCCCCATCCCCAGTGGTTCTCCTCTCTTTCTGGGAAGGTTCTCCTTTTCCATCTGGCTTGGATGGCTAGGAGGTGGGCAGGGACGCCTCCTGGGTCATACTCTCTCAATCCCTCTTCCCCAGGAAAGGCGAAGAAGGTTTTATCAGACTTCCATTCATTCCTTACCCGTTCGTGAGCCCTCCTTGAACCCAGTCTGCGTCCAGTCCCAGCCCTGCCCTGTTTCTCTGCACAAAGTGGGCAGAGGAGAACCCAACTCAACCTGCCCCCAGTCACACAGTTCACAAAGGCCAAGTGGGGACACGCGCTCATGCATTCTTACTTCTGGGGCTGTGTTCATGCTTTCTGGGCCCATGCACAGACCTTTGGGCATTAAGCGTTAATCTTCCCTGGCCCACACCACTTCTAAAACTTCCTCTAGCTCTTCCCATGACTTCTCTGGCTCCTGTTTGGAAGCAGGAACCAGCCAGGGTCCCCTGTGTCTTTAGAAGACCCGGAGAGTGTTGTATATTCAGGGCGCTCAAATGAGGGAACTTGGTGCCAGGTTTTGGAACCACTTTCCTTGTGCAGAGCCAGATGCTGAGAAGCTTGACCTCTGGGGGAGCAGTGGCAGGCTCTGCAGGTGGGGGCTCCCGGACAGAAGGTCCTGACCCAGGGGGAGAGTTCACACCTTCCCAAGGGCTGACTTGGGAAGAAAGTTCTTCAGCTGCCCTCAAATCCTCACACTCTCCCTGTCTGCTGCCCCACCCCCCAGTCTACACACAGGGACCCAGGCCTCGGGGCTGGAGAAGACCCTTGCTTCGTAGCATCAACGACCCCCATTGCCTCCCCTCCAAGCCAGGCCTGAGCTGAGCCTCTGGACCTCATTAGTCCTTTGAGGAAGGTTACGTTATCCTTCTGCTCTCTGTCAAGGAAATGGAAGCAGGGAGAGTGTCAGGGAGCAGCCTGACCCAGCCAATGATCACACAGCTGACGGGTAAGAACATGTCCTGCCGCTGTCCCCGCTCACACCTCTCTCCTTGATGCTCGGCCTAAGCCAAGGCTGCACGGGGCACAGGCGACCAGGGGAGGGCCTGTCACCTGGCTCTCAGGACGTGGGTGGAGCCTATCCAGAGGCTGGGGGCTGTGCCACAAACACCAGAGGACAGATAGCCTCTGTCCCCTGCCCACAGCCTTCTTGGCATTCAGACAGCTGGGTTTGCCCCACACAGAACCTGACCTCACCCAGAATTCCCCGCCCCCAAGGGAGTTGTTCTTCAGGCATCTCTGCCCTGGAGCCATCCAGACCCTTCCTGGCCTGCCCCACTCCAACCCATGCCAGGGAGCCCAGGGCATGGGACCTCTTACTTGATCTCTGTCTGGCCGCCTGCCTTCCGGGCGATCTGCACCAGCTCCTTGCCATAGCGCTCCTCGGCTTGGGCCCTGCAAGAACAAAGCGCCGGCTCCATGTCCCCCCTTCTGGCCACAGCGACCCCTGAACGTCTGTGCTGGAAACTGAGGGTCCACCCAGTCAGCCACTGCGGGCCCTGTAGGCTCCTCCTTGAGAACGTTAAGTTCCAGCCCTTCTTTGAAATAAATGTTAGCCAAATACCTGCACATTTGAGGGGACGTCAGATTCTTGGCCCACTGAGGGGAGGCCCAGGCTGGGAAAAGCAGGAGAGTCACACTCCCAGGGATTGTGGGCGGGGGATGTTTTCCTGACAGAAGCTTGGCTGGGAGGGTGAGGCTGCTGCTTCCACAGCCCCCGCCCCGCCCCGCCCCCTGCAGGCCCCCATCTGGTGTCTGGCTCACCTCTGCCTCAGCAGCTCCTCCACATCCTTGCACATCTTCCTGCCATCCAGCAGCCTCTGCAGCAGCACCTCGTAGCCTGTGTGGGCCGTGAAGTCCCTGCACTGCAACACGGAACAGAGGAGCGCCTGAGGGCGGGCAGGGTGAGGACCCCACTGCCGCCTTCAGGGAAAGTCTCCCTGCAGCCACGAAGCCCTGACCTGCCAGCCGCCTCCCCCACACCCCCACTTAAGGACTGGGGCTCGGCTTCGCGCAGGCCAGCAGGGCCCTGTCCGCGGACGCGCGGGGTGTTGAGCCCACCCGCGATTAGAGCTCCCAACCCAGGACCGCAGCAAGTCCAACACGAGATGGCCGTGGAAGGGCCCCCTCCAGGGCCCCGGGAAGACAGCCTTACAGGGTGCCCCGCACGGCTTGCTGCTGTCACATTCCCCATAACCCTATCATCTCCCTGGTCCAAGGGAGCAAACCGAGGCACAGGTGGCAGAGGCTGCCGACAGGGACGTCACTGCCTTGAACTCAGGCTGTCCAGCTCGAATCCACGCTCTCCACCTCAACACCACATGGCTTCTGCAGCATCAGCACCAGATGTTTCTTGATGGTCAACTGTGTGCCATTTGCTATGCCAGACTCTGTGTGTGGACTCAGGGAATCCTCTCGTACCCGCACGGTGAGATGGGCATCGAGAGTGACCTCTGCCGCCAGAAGGCGCGCACACCCTAACACACGCCTAGAATCCCTGGCACATGCTAGCACCCTAGGGCCAGCCCTCAAGCAAGACAGTGGGGAAAGGGGCATCTTGAAGAATTCTCCTGGCCACAGCTGGCCCGCCGACCAGGCACTTGTGCAGACCATCCTGGTGCTCCTGACCGATCGGATTCTCCTTTCTCAGCCCTGGAATGGATTTTGAGCTGCTGCTTCTGGAAGGTGGGGAAGGGAGGTCGTACTTCCAGGGTCTCCTAGGACATCCCCCCGGGTCTGAGGAGTGGGTCTTAGGGCCAGGCTGCACACAAGGCTAACTGGCAGGGGAGGGAGATCGAGAACGTGGTGAAACATTAAGCTGAGAGCTGGGTCTTCCTGCATCTGTGACCTGAGCCTGGCTCCAGCGTCCATGCTTGAGGAAGGACCCCTACTCCCACCCCTAACCCCCTAGGATGCTGGGCCAAGCAACTGTAAATTGAGACAAGCCCTGAGATTCAGCTCCTAGTCTGTCTTCTTTTCCATCCTCATGGACCACCCCACCCAGAGCCTCGGAGACTAGAGAAACAGTCTGCTTTCCTGAGCATACATATCATAACCCCATCTCAGACACAGTGAATCAGTGGGGCCACAACCCGGGGGAGGCAAGTCTAGCCCACCTTAGAGTCAAGAGCTGATGGTGCATCTTTCCCTGCCCTGTGCCTCTCCTCAAATGCTATGTGTGGGTATGTAGGGAGAGGCAGGAGAGAAGTCTAAATCCAGGAGAACTTCCCACAGGAAGAGGCATTTGAGCCAGTTTCTAGGAGAGAAGGTGTTGTTCTTCGAGGTGTTAAGTAGCATCAGACACGGTAGGAAGTTCAGAGATTGCACAAATTGCCAGCTCTTCCTCAGCAAATTCAAAATAGTGAAATTTCCAGGCCTATAGGACACCTAGGACTCCAAGTTTATGCCCTCCTCCATAAGCATTCCTGGAAAGTCCCGAGGCCCAGGCTCAGCTGCCCCCGGGTACCAAGCAGTGCTCGCGGGCCCTGCTGGCTATTCAGGGCCCCAGCAGAAGGAAATCATCCCCAGGACCCCTGCCGGACTGTCCTGGGTCAGGCGTCAGCCCCCACATCTGGGCTGGTGTGGTTGATCCAGGCTTTCATTTCTCTGGCTTTTCTGAGTGGTCATTAGCCCACTAACTAGCCAGCAGACCAGGGCTTTCTGCCTCTCAGCCCCTGCCCTCCCTCCAAAGCCAGCTGGCAGAAGGTCATGACAGCTGGGGAAGGCGAGGAATCTGGAGCCTCAGCCTCCTATTCTCTCCCCAGCAGGGAGGTACCCTGAGCTGGACACCAGTGCTTTCAGGGCCCAGTTCCACAGACCACCAAACTAGGAAACATCTTGTCCAGTGCCCCTCAGTCCTCAGGGAGGCTGAGGCCCTGAGAAGGGAAGGACCAACTTCAGGAAGCCCAGGCAGAGGCAGGAAAAGCGTGTGGACTTGCAGGAGACCTGTTGCTGCTCCACGAAGCCTGGGAGAGCCAGAAGTAGCCACCCGCTCCCTCTTCCTCCCCCTGTCCCCCACCCTGCAGCAGGACACTCTGCTCTACCCTTCCAAGGACCCTGGTCCCAGCTCTATAGGGGAGCCCTCCATCTTTACGGAGCTGCCCAGAGTGAAAAGACAAGCAAAACCAAACCTACATTGGCCATTCCGTAGGAGGCAGAAGGCAGCAAGGGGCCCTGCAGGCTGGGTCCCCAGGAGCTCAGGTCCCCCAAGTGCCGCAGGCTCCAAAAGGGTGTTCAGCCTTTGCTCAGAGCCACAGTGGCGTCAGCAGCTGCTGTGGCCAAGTGAGCCATGGTCACAAGTGATGAGACTGTTCTGAGGAAGTGCCTCGTTCCGTAGGGGCTGCTCCCTCCCAGCACTGTACCCCTCCCCCAGCCTGCACCCTCCTCCTCACCCCTACCCCACCACCAACTCCAGGGAATGAGGCTGCTCAAGCTGCTGTTGAGGAAATGAATGAACCAATCATTCAATTAAATAATCAATCAGTTGTATAAGTTCATAGTCCAGGCCCCACTGCACATCACCCCTGCAGGAGCCCCCCTGGCCTTCCTTCCCAGCACCCACCCAGCTCCACCCTCTAAGTGCCAAGGGCTCGCTGCAAGTCCCTCTCCTTCACTGGCTCATAGGTCCACAGTGCAGAAGCTACCAGGCAGGGCCTCGCTCCTCTTCCATCTACCCACGGCCTCTGTTGCCTGAAACCCACCCATGGCCTTGATCTTAGTGGAATTAGGTCTAAGAGTCACACACTAGGAACATCACAGTGGTTTTCTTTTTTCTTTTTTTAAGATTTTATTTATTTATTTGTCAGAGAGAGAGCACGAGCACAACCCGGGGGTGGGGCAGGGGGAGAGGGAAAAGCCGACTCTCTGCTATCTGGGGAGCCCACCGCAGAGCTCTATCCCAGGACCCTGAGATCATGACCTGAGCTGAAGGCAGATGCTTAACCGACTGAGCCACCCCATCACAGCAATTTGCTTATTGAAAATGCCTCTCACTCACGGAGGTAAGGACAGTGACAAGGAGACCCACAGAGGGGAAGTGACAGCCCAAGATCTCTCAAGGGGTAAAGGTCAGAATCTGGGCTGTGAACCCAGGCCCGCCTCTCCCCAGGCCACATACCTACATCGGTCATTCACAAGATAACCAGCACTGTTTTTCATTTTGAAAAGTCAAAAAATCATTTTGAAAGATCACTTTTGAAAATGATGACTCAAATTCTTTCCAGCTTAAATCAAAGCTGTATTTTGGGCTATCGTTCCATTCCCATGGATTCCCAGAGACAGGGTCTGAGCCTAGGCAGGGTCAGAGGAGCTCTTCACTGGAGAGGGGCCGTGCTGGCTCCACAGATGTGCACACCGGGAAGCAGTGAGCAGCCAGAATCCGGGCCTGGCCTGGTGGCATCCCGGGGCAGTTCACCCCGGGGAGGGTGCCAGGTGTTGGGAAGCCATGGTTCCCTCCTTTAGGAGGCTTGCTCAAGCCAGGTGTGGGAGCCCAGGCCATCACACTGGCCATGCTGGGGCTCCCTTCCCCCCCCACCCCCGCAAGGCCAAATCAGAATAGCAGGAAGTCTCCTGAGGCTCTAGAAGGAAGTGCTCAGGGGAGACCTGAGCAGGTGGAAGCCTATTCCTACCTCAGCCTTCAGGCAGTGTGGGGAAGGCCCAGGTGCCCCTTGCTGCCCAGGGAAGCCCAGCGGCTTCCTTCTCCAGGCAGGTCTACCTGTCAGCCATTGCGCTGGTCCTGCCATGGCCCCACTGGGTGGATAGAAAGACAGTCTTTGTACCCACCACGACTTCCCCCTTTTCTTACCCATATCACCCTTTGGTGGCTGCAGGAGCTAGACCACAAAGATCAGGGCCTGAGGGATTTGGTGGCCCTTGGTTTCCTCATTTAGGAAGTGGGCACAGAGGTCAACCTCTCCCCCCTGCCCTGACAACCTGCTGTTCTAGGGAACAACCCCCTCAGGGCAGACAGAGGCTGCGGTCAGGGAGGTGCCCAGGCCGTGTCTGAGAAACAGTCCAGACTCCGTCAGACTAGCTGTGGGTTCCCAGCTCGGGTCATTCTCCCTCTGGCAGGAAAAGGGGCCCAACAGTTCCCAGCACCTGAGGTGTTCTGAGAAGTCATGAAATGATGTGCACAGCTCAGAACGGTGAACAGAGATCACAGCATGTCGGGTACAAGGCTGAGGATTATTACCCCCATTTTACAGGTGAGGAAGATGGAATGCAGGGAGGTCACCTAATGTGCCTAGGGACAGGCGGGGTTTGAATCCAGCTCTCCCAGGCCAAGATCTTAGCTCTTCGCCTCCCAGTCTCACGCCTCTCTGCAACTCCCCAAGCTCAGTGGCTGATGGGCAAGTGGTATTCTCCAGGCCCTGCTCTGTCCCCGCCTGCCTGTCACCACCCCCACCAGGCAGAGGCATGAAAGGGGTTGGAGCATCCAGGAACCGGCTGATGTTCTTCCTGGGGCCCAAGTGAAGGGCTGTGGAAGGGAGCTGGGAAGAGCAGCTTTGGGACTTTCTGTTCATGAGAACTACCTGACAGGGAGGGAGGAGCCGCCACAAGGGGCCGCATGGAGCCAACTGCTGGGTGCACTGCCAGCGGTCAGAAGTGGACAGCTGCAGGGAGCAGAGTAGGTCATCCTTGGGGGGACAGGCTCACCAAACAACCAGGAGAGAAAGAGCTACCCCGGGGGCCTCTGCCACCTGCTCTTCCCAGAGCTCCAGGGAAATAAGACTTTTAACCCCTTTAGAGTCACGGACCTCACAGCCCACCCTGTCTGAGGAGACACCGTAAGCAGTGGTTATGGGGAGAACACGGCAAGTGAAGAAACGGGCCCCGTCCTTTCCCCATTGTCCCCATTGTAGGCTTC